TGATGGATCAGGTGAAATTTTGAATATGTCTGAAAAAACGACCAACAATTTTTCATATTACCATCAAGAAGATCAAAAAGTCTCTTTGAATTGTCTATCAGGTTCTGACATAATTTTGAAAGGACATTTCACAGGAGATCACAACCTTGCAACGCCTTTTTATTCCATAATTTATATTCAATATAGTCAGGCATTGAAATGAACAAAACGTTCTGGTTACATTATTCACTCTGCTTTTCCCTTTCCATTTATAAACCAGTTTTTCTTTGGATTAATGAATTAATATTAGAATCACATTCAACATTCACATTCTGTAGTATCTCTGAATGATTTTCACACCTTTCAGTTCTTCATAAGTTTTTCATAGCTATTGTATCTCAATTTTATACGATGATCATCAATCATGATACTATACAAAGCTGTGACGTCTCGAACTAAAAAGCAGAACAACTTTCAAAAGTAATGTTCAAAATTCTGACGGCATGAGATGAGCTGACTAGAGGCAAATAGCGCATTTAATAAACCCGAGAAAATTTATTACAATTTTTGTGGTAATTTTCAACGTTCTTCTGTTCGTGTTTTCAATGGTTATTTGACGCGTCATTGCTTTTGAATGTCCCCATAGAAACTAAACAGCACTTTGATGAGAGCTGATAGCGATATATTAGCAGTAAAATCAGGTAAATGAAAACAACTCAATAGCTCGTATTCCCATCATGAACTTTCAACAAGATGGTAATCTATTAAAACTTTGAGATGTATCTAAATAGCTGTTGATGTCAGCCTGGGTTCTTACCGCACAAACCACGTGCTCCGCATGGGGGATATATTCATGATACAATGTATATAAAACTATAGGATAACGAAACGATGTGCAAAATATGAGCACTAGTCCAATTAATGATAATGTTATGTCAAGCAATAGACGACACACAAGCATCGTTCGTAACTAGAAAAAAGATAATTATGAAGGGTAGCTCTAAGTAGAACCGAAAATGACAATGTGATACCAGCCAAAAGATTACAATGCTAAAAAACTAACAAAAATTTATTTCCTTATAGATAGGAGATAAAGTTTCTTGAAAAACCTTTCATACACAAACCCCATAAACCATATCACCAATTTTTTAAATAAATTAAACATGAACCCAAAGATGTTCAAATTAGAAATAAAAATTTTGAGCATTTAGATTTAAGCCCCAACAGTTCTAACAAAATAGATACATGAATAAAGTTGGTTGGTTTAAACGACAGATTAAATGTGAGCAATCATTTACTTTAATAAAAAGGTTTCCAAAAATTATCCATTTGAGTTTCTCTTTGATATTTATTTCATTTAAATATTACAGCCATGATTTTACAAAATACAATAAAAATCAGAAGATATATCTGCCTTGATACAATACAATAAAAATCTTTCTTATTTTTAATTTTTTCATTCCGTATGTTCGTTTTCTTTTCATGTCATTATAATGGGCATTATTTCCTGAGAATCATCATTACATATTGTTGGCGAAAAATCTCATTAAAATAAAAATGCATCTGATAAACGAACGTGTGCAGTGTGAGTTTCCATAATGCTGACCACAATATGATGGGGATATTAAAATAATTTAATCACATGCCGGAAGTGCGTTCTTTTACCTGCGTTTTATCCTAAATTGATCACACCCCGAACGAGAATTTCACAAGCACTGAAACATCTCCTGGTGATGATGAAATCGAACATGTATCGTCAGAGAAAAAGAATAAAAGATTCAACAAAAAGTATGCATTTACACAATTGTATAAATAACAGTTATTCAAATCCATCTCATATATCGAATGACTATTCCCTGGACAAAATGTTTAGGAAGGTTTGGTATTATTCATCATACAGGTGTTATAACGCATGGTCCATTACTTCTGCAGTTTCCTGGGAGTCAGTCCTAAAAAACGTCCATCATTTTTATGGCTGGTGATCTATCCATGATTCACACAAATATCACGTTCGCAGGTCCTTAACCATCAACAAAATTGTCAGTTCAACTGAGCAGAAAACATTGACAAATTTCATGCATTTTTAAAATCTTTTTAAGAAGTCAGTTTCGTATCAAGACATTATAAAAACGAATTATAATGATAGGCCTTATATTTAGATACATATAAATTAAGTCGACTGGAAAATAACTGACTTTAAGAAAAATATTTTTTAAGTATAATGCCCTTATACGTTAGGGACCTGAATATAAGAAGCAGATGTAGCAGGCCTTAAAAATGAAGATTATGATCTGTATATCTCAATCGTGAGGAGAAATCAGCTTAATCATAGTTTTATATATCAATAAGAAAAGACATGAAGTGGCCATACCTTTTTATGGTATCTAAATTAATTTGTACCCGAACCAAACAATAGAAAATAATAATATTGATTGAATCTATGATACTAATAATTAAATCTATGTAGTACTTGATTTTGTTAATATGAAATTAATTTCCTTTGAATAAAATCATTGTTTGTCCATTGCCGGAAATTCATTTTTATTTTTGATCAATTAACAAATCTGATTTAATTGTCAATGAACAATTATCGTTTCCAGTGCAAATTTTATATGAGCAATTTATTAACAATGATTAACACTGACAATGAAATTCAATAATACATCAATATCAATACTGACCATGTGCACTTTGATTTATTTACTATGTATTCATTTTGTTAAAATAACCCAAATACTTTTATATTATTATAGTATTATATACATAAAGAATATATTCTATTGACAAGGCTGGTATTCAGGTGTATTATATCATATAGCAATTTAGTTTTTTGGTTTGGAGTTCTGGAATCACTTAACAAAGGAATTCTCATTTGACTAGTTGAAGAGTAGTGCTACCATCACTAAAGGCCCTACTTTGATTTTATTTAAAATATTTCTTTTTTTAATGTTATGCATATGTTGCAAGTTATAATGATTCTTGAATTGATGTTATAACAAAGTACACATTTTTACATTTCTTAAAATATGCTTTTATTATTGATTGTTCTTTTTCCTAGTTTTCCATCCCTACATACGAGTCAGGATTGAATCAAGGTTATTTCTTAAACGAGCAAAACCAAACTATTGGAATCAACACTAGTGCCATCTTTAGAAATGTTGTAGACCTTTAATTTCCTATTCTACTCAATTAATCTTTACACCGAACGCCATCTATTATTAACAGATAAAACAAAAGCAGGTACTTTCATTGGTCAACTCATTTTGTCAAAATACAACCTCATAATTTAATGATTGTGTTTTGTGAATCTTAACAAAATTACTAATGCTGTTAGAGAAATAAAAAATAAATCTTCAAATATCAGAGAATTTCGGAGACAGTATATATCACTATTTGGTATCATCTTAACATCTCTTCATCCCATAACTGTGGTATCTAAAACATATTTTACTTAGGAATTGTGCCTCTGCACGGGTAAGAGAATGTCTGATAGATCAAAATGGTATTTCCATGATTTCAGCCCTGATTCTTTCATGGAATGTGAAAGAAAATGAGATAAATGTGTGTATCCGTGATTTTACTTTTGTTGTATACTTGAACATGTAGTTATTCTAAGATTCAAGTCATGTTCCTTCAGTATATCATGGTGTTCAACTTTCACCCTCCTTTCCATTCCTCTGAATTTCTCCGATGTAAAACAAGAAAACGGAGGTGCACAGACAAGCAGATAAATGTACCAATGAACATATGGATGGATATGAGGGTAGTGGAGAAATGGATGCTAATCTTGATCCCTCAAACTTTCATATAATTAGATGAGGTGATTACAATTTCATCAAATAACAAATAAAACTTATTTAACTTTAAAGTTTTAAATTTTAATCATATAACAATATCATCATTTTAAACAATAAAGAGTATTTTCTCTACAAAATCTGATGACATGTACAATTTGTACAATAACTTAATCATGAAATCTGATTTACATATGTATCGCTATTTATTATGTACCACCAGTTAGATTTCAATAAGATAATGGCTAATCTCTCATCACAATTGTTTCTGCAAAAACAATTGACAGGGAGGGGGTAAAAACTGTACGGAAAACCAGCAAACATTGTGTAGTATAGTAGAACCAACTGTAATAGGTTTATTGAAGAGAGTGAGGTTGGTTTTTCAATAAAAAGTTCCCACAAAAACATTGATGATTTGACTTGGCTCATTTATTCGATGTAACTGACCAGCAGTAGATATTGCAAAATTACAAAGATTCTAAATTGAGATATAAATGTATTACAGACCTATAGCTATATCAAATCATGATTTCAATTCAAAAACCATCATATTGTATAAATAGGCTTTAAATCTTCCATACAAATATTTCCCAGCTATTAAAATATATTTTTCTTATTTACGTATGTACATGATATATATGTATATGAACTTATATAAATTTACTGCAACTGATAAGCATGATTGGTGGTATATGAATAATAAATATAGAATTTTTAACAAACATTTATTTGATTAGTGAATTGAAATAATAAAGGATTTGCTGTAAAGATGAATAAATAGGTGGCAGCAGTAGGTATGGTTATGCTAGAATGCTATTACTCTATTTGGAGAATTGCTTCTAATATGAGGATTTGTAGCAGACTTGATGTATAGAAATATTATGGATAATTATAATTTTATAAGGAATTGTACATTCATTCCAGGTTATATCATAATTTGGCAATTATCTTGATATTGCATATATCACATAAAAATATGTTTTTGTATATTTTTTTTGGTGACCCTGTATATGCATGAAGTATTTAGTCCATAGTTTGTCTTTGCTAAACTAAGTCATTGAACATCCTTGCCTCAATCAGCAAGGATAGAAAATGTGAGCAACCTTCTTTTCATTCAGTAATCTGAGAGAATCTAGCTACAGCCCCTATGACCCCCTATCTCTCCTTTCCCACTGCTTGACTACACAAGTATGACAAATTCTCACACAGGTAGGGTTTGGAGAGTGGGGGGCACAAAGGCTTGTAGCTAGATTAACTGAGGACTTTTTCCTGGTTTTGTCCTTCATTGAAATCAGATGGTCTTTTTTAGTACACTGAAGAAGTATCATCTCTCATGGCTTTGTCCTTTAGACCTCCAACTAAACCACTTGCTGTATTGAACAGGTTTATGGGTGTGTTGCCATCAGTGATCAAAGTGCTCTTAATCCCTAGACTCTTCAGAAGATTCACCTGAAATAAGGATTGGATTATCGCAAGACCTTAAAACACAACTGAAATAGGTTTTCTCAACTTGCAGCTATAAAAATGTGGTTTATGGCATTGTAAGTCCAATAGAGTCTGAACCATTTCAAAGAATTTTCACCCACAGCCTGACAATTTTTGACATGTATAAAATTTCAGAATACAATGGAGTGAAAAGCACCACAGGATTCAGTGACTTCACTGGGGCACTATTGCTCATTTAAAATCAAATTGTGGCTCCAAAGCAGATACCGTTGAAATAATTCCTAACTTAATTGAATGCATTTTAAATGATCACCCAACCACTTTGTAAGCATGCTAACTTCAAACTCTTGTAGTGCATTTAAAGCCAGCAATGTATCTATTTAAAGAAAGCACATGACATACCTGTGTCTCAGGCCCAGCATTTGCTATTGCAGTGATAGTGTCTTTGCCCAGGGTGCTAATCATTTTCTCAAACTTCTTAACCTCAATGTCAACCATTGTCTTAGATTTATGAACCTCCAGATTATTCTGGGCTTTCTTATAAGCCAGCTCAGATCCTCGTAACTGAAATCAGATAATGCCAAGGCATAAACATGCAAAATTAACATGCTAAACACTGTCCTATAATAAGAAGTCACCATTTGTGGTGGTTACATAAAAATCATAAGATGTCTATCTGATATCAATAGTACTAGGTTCTAACATCTGTCAGAAAATATTGAACTTACCATAGACTGACTCTCCAGCTCAGCATTGTGTTCGATTTCAGCAGCTTCTGCTTTGAGTCTTGCCGCTTAAATACAAAGTAATAATTAATGTAAAAGATTATATGCCAAAAAGATATGCCAAAAATGAGTAATAATGTAAAATGATATACAAATACTGAGCTATTCATTTAAATAAATGAAAATGTTAAAGATGATATGCCAAAGCAGACTCTAAGCTCTTGTAAAATTTATTTGATGAAACAACCCCTCTGTAAAGGTCACCTCTATATATGGAACAATTTTCAAAAGAACCAAAACCCATTGGCATACAATGTAATGAACCCTGGCGTTTTACACAAGTTTAATTCGTTTATTGTACATTATATTTGTATCTCACCATCAATTTCACTCTGGCATTCGATGAGTGTTTTCTCAGCATTAGCATGGGCCTCAGCAGTGGATTGACCAGTAGACTCAACAGCCGCAGTGATTGCTCGTAACTTCAGCAGTTTGGCTCTTTCTTTCTCAGATTCTTTTTCATTATCAAGTTTCTGCCTGTCTAGTGTTCCCTTGGCTATCTGCTCGACTCGTTGGGCTTCATGTGTGGCAGATGCTTCAATGGAGCTGAAATTGTGAACATCATTTCAACTTGCAATGTGCTCAGTTAAAAGTTCAATTCCAACCAAGGTGGAGTGACATTGGTTAGCTTTTATTTGGAGTTCATAGTTACTAAAACTGATTTCTCTTGCACTACAGTACTCTTAATAATAACAAGTCTTAGACTCTGCCATGATGTCAATATGACCTTTGTTATTTGTACCTACCTTGTAGCTATTTCGATGGCCATCTGCACAGACTTAAGGAGACTGTCCCTCATCTTAATATCTACTGGTTCTATACTCTGGATATCTACACTGCTAACAACCTGCACCAAAAAAATATTAAAGTGAAACCTATGAAATGGGACACCTTTGCAAGTGGAACAGTAACACTGAAATTTGTCAGTGTATAACCTGACACCTAAGTGCGTAGGGTATAACCTGACACTGAGAGTTTTTTAGTATAACCTGACACTGGATCGTTTACATGTTAGTTACAAGTAATTTGCTCTCATTTGTTTCAAGCCTTGCCTTAATCTGCATGGCATTTTGGTAGTAAAGTACGAGTACATATTTATTCTCAACTGAACTTAAGATTGTTTACTCACAAGATTATTTGCTGCAAATTTCAGACTGCTTTTTGGCTTTCCGTCCTCATCTTCTCCAAAGACAGCATGCTGTATAACCTGCGTAGAGTTACGATGAAACTCATCGAATGCGATTCTTGCCACTGAACCACGGATTCTGCTTCCTGGAAATATTTCCAAATAAGGCCTGATAAAAAATGCACTGGAAAATATGGGTATTGTGTTCACTTTAGAGAAACACCTTTAAACAAATTACCAATTTCCAAAGCGCTAAATAATTTTGGCCCACCCTATACTCTGATGTGAACATTAGAAGACATAACTTACCAAGCTGTCGGCAGGCATCCCCAATGAAATCTGATACAGAAAATATTTTGGCCTCTGATTCTGGGTTACCCTGTTCAACCTAAAACACAACATAATTTATTTTATATATACACCACATATTTTCACCAGAGCTCAATGTTACCCTTTGCAAAAACTCAACCAAAGCTTCACTCTTACAATTAGAAATAATTCTCTGATCTAATCTATACCCATTCAGAATATACAGTCAGAAAATCACTACGTATGTATATTGCATTTTCAGCCTATAAGTATAGTGAGTCCAAAATGACAGTTTTTACTCTTTCGTTAGTTAATAGTGCACTTAAGAGCAGTAAGATCATAAGAACTAGATAATGGCAACTCCGCGGAGTAGCAAATCCCAACGAACAAAATATCAATTACCGAATTCCAATCAATTATACTCATTACTTTGGTTAAAATTGAAAAATTTAGATTTAAGAATTGCGAATTCCTGCAAAGCAGCCATTTTGAATTTTCTGAGGTACAAATCTGAAAAATAATACCATAATTGTGATCTACTCCAAAATTCCTTCAATTTGAGTACTATATAGCCATACGTTGAAGGGATCGAAAAAATAATTCCGAAATCGTACATCAGACGGCCATTTTGAATTTTATGAGGCTCGAATCAGAAAAAGATACAATATTTGCAATCTACTCTTAATTGCCTTTCATTTGAGTATAATAAAGCTATACTTCAGAAAGATCTACAAATTAGCAAAAATTTCTGTTTTCCTGACCCCCCATACACGGCCCCTGGGGGTCAGGATGAAAAACACGGAATACATGTGAAATAGATAGATGTTGCAGATATACTACCAAAATTTCAAACAATAATATTAATTACTTTAGTTTAGAATGGAAAATTTATGATTTTTGCGAAAAAGTCCCGTCATTTTTAAAGCGGCGGCCATCTTGAAAAAATTCATTTTGAATTTTCTGAGGTACAAATCTGAAAAATAATACCATAATTGTTATCTACTCCAAAATTCCTTCAATTTGAGTATTATATAGCCATACTTTGAAGGGATTGAAAAATTATTGCGAAATCGTACATTAGACGGCCATTTTGAATTTTACGAGGCTCGAATCAGAAAAAAGATACAATATTTGCAATCTACTCTTAATTGCCTTTCATTTGAGTATAATAATGCTATACTTCAGAAAGATCTAAAAAGTAGCGAAAATTTCTGTTTTCCTGACCCCCCATACACGGTCCCTGGGGGTCAGGATGAAAAACACAGAATATATGTGAAATAGATAGATGTTGTGAATATACTACCAAAATTTCAAACAATAATATTTATTACTTTGGTTTAGAATGAAAAATTTATGATTTTTACGAAAAAGTCCCGTCATTTTTAAAGCGGCGGCCATCTTGAAAAAATTTTTTTTTGCGTAAAACTATTCATCAATATACATCTTTCCACCAAATATGAAAAAAATCTGTCTATTAATATTTGAGTTATCTTCCGGACGGACGGACGGACGGACTGACTGACTGACTGACAGACTGACGGACGGACGGCTTCACTATATCCCTACCGAACTTCGTTCGTTGGGATAATTATCATCATGTGTAAAGTGGAAACTATTTAACATATTTTAACTCCAAAGTAGGATAACAATCTTTATAAGATACTAGGATATGATTGTTTATAACTTTATAGGGTATGATACCATTGATTTTAAAGTAGGATATCAAGGAAGTTACTTATACCTCAAAATGATTGTTGAAAGAGAGTTTTACTCTGAGCCTGGCGTGGTCAGAGGTTTCCACCTCAAGAAAGTCTGTGATGAAATCTGGACCTAACATCAGACCAAGTGACTTTAAGGCATCTGATTTCTTTGGTTTACCAGCTAAAATGATAAGATCATTAATCACAACAATGATAAGGAAATAATCAAGATGACTGTATGTATTACACCCATGGATTGAAACTGAAACTTTTCATTAAAAGTGGAACTGAAACTCCATGTCTTTCATTTCTACTTGTTGCAGTGGCAAAAAATACAAAACGATATTTTTTCAGGAGAACTGAATGTTTTAAGTACAAAAAATGCAAATATTCACCGCTTAAACTGAGGACATTGAAGTTCTCATGTGGGCCCAAAATAACAAGATCTGGCCCAAAAATAACTCTTGCTGTTTTTTCTTTGTAGTTATACACTTGAACAGCAGTATTTCCTGGACAGCGATATGTCACAACCCTCGTCTTGTCACGTCCCTAAAAAGAAAGTGACAGAACTACTTCACCTTTGAAGAGCCATTTATTTAACATTTTCAAAGCACTTATCAAGTGACAAAATGTAACATCGAAATATCCTATCATAATACATTTATCATGAAAGATGCATTTCACTTTACAAAAGAAATAAATTAGTACCGTGGGTACTGGGCTCACATGGTGTTGCTCAAAAGTGAAAATAAAAAAGACAGGTATAATTTTTTGCAGATTTTTTGTGACAAAATTAGGGCTAATTGAAGCCAGTGGTTTTGATGATTGCAGTGTGACGCTTGTTTCGTGCGGCCTTTCTGTTTTTTCCCATTTCATTGGAGGACTTACAGGAGCTACTGGTTGCAGTAAAGGCGATGTTGGCTTTTCTCTGTAACAGATGATCTGAATTAAATTCTAAGATACTCTATTAATGCTACCCTATTGCATTAGTTCGACTACACTTCTTAAAAGAGAGCTTCGTCCGGATATAAGGGTGGCCAACTGCTACACGGACAACAATGTTTTTAGGTACATAGTTTTATGAAGATATTGCATTATAGATACATGGCATGTAAAACTGTGATAAAGTTTCAAGTCTCTCGAGAGGTTTATAACCATATACATGTAGTGAACTTACATGTGTAGTGCAGCATTGTCCTTTTCTTCTTCTTGTTCCCTGAGAGCAATAAGAGCAGAGGTCTCCCTATGTACAGCTGCATCCGTACATGGAATGTAGCGGATGCTGGAAAACCATAAAGACTACATATAGAGGTTTCATTAGCAGCAGGCAATGGGTGATTTTCAGTTGTTTGTAGAGACTTTTCAACTTTGACCATGTTAAATTTAAGATTTTCATTAATTTTGCCTGTTGTATATTTATTTACCCTTTTGTGAGAAATTCTAGTGAAACCCATGTACTGTATTTACAATATTACATACATTCAAACACATTACATATTGCACACAATATCTAAGTATATTTCACTCATTATCTATATGATTGCACTTCATCTATAACACTTGCATACATTATGTAGATACACACATTATCTGAGCGTACAATATACCCTATCTACTAATGTCTCATATTTTTGGACTCCAACATACCTAATATCTGTCCCCAGTAAGGACGCCCTCCTGAGTATAGCACGAGCTTGAGCGTTTGTGATTCTACGAAGATTTTCACTATTTACTGTTAGAATATAATCACCTATTTGAATACGGCCATCTTTTTGTACAGGGCCACCTTTTGTGATTGCCTTAACTACGCAACCATTGACAGCTTTTTCGGTGGCCTCTACAGCTAATCCTGCAAAACAAAAGATAAGGATAAAAACAAAAGGTTGAAAAAGGATTAACATGCAAAATGTCACCATATGCCATTTCTTACATTTCTTATAGAATGCCGAACACCAATCACCTAACACCAAACTGCCCCCCAAAAAAGTTGGAGACTATGACACTTCTGGTGATGGCATAAAAGTTACTGTATTTAAACATCACAAAATGTTACCATTGAATTGCAATCATAAAAGTGTAACCGTTTGTTACAGAAGCATGCCAAACACAACCTTTCTTCCGCATGGTGGCTATGACATATGAAGTCACCTGACAGAACTCATCACTCACCTAATTGATAATTTCCTTTTTTAATTTTGATTGTACGTTCTAGAGCAGCAGGTAAAGTAGGAATCTCAGGTCCCCCACCCCAGGCTTGTCGTGGAGAGGGGGGTGTTGCGGGAATGGGACTTGTTCGAGGCATCGATGATGTGGGAGTAAGGTCACTTTTTGGTACACTACTGGCTAATTCAGGCTACAATGGAATAGTTTTAATGATAAATCTACAAAAATTAGTACTGTGGGTACTGGGCTCACATGGTGTTGCTCAAAAGTGAAAATAAAAAAGACGGGTATAATTTTTTGCAGATTTTTTGTGACAAAATAATTTCATACAACTACTCTTTACAAAGACATGGCTTTTTACAATGCAGGACACCTGAACTATTTTGTAAAGCTAGGAAATGGGCCAAAAGTGAATTTCCCGAGACAAAAATGGTGGCCATTTTGAAATTAGGCGAGATTTTGAAGCAGGAGTCACAGGTTTTTTTTTCTTTATTGATGTTGAACAAAATTATTCTAAATCAGGAATTTTTTACCTCCAACTACCTGTTTAACACAAATGAAATTCTCATATCTGCAATTACCTCTATTTAGGTTACTATCAAGTAGAATGACTAGGAGTGCATTCTGTACTGCTGCTGCTGCTGCATCGGGTCATGGGGCCACATCTCATCTTTGATGGGGGATAGTCTTACGCAATGGAGGTCAGCCATAGGGCGTTTCAACCAACTATCTAGTACTAAAACTAGTATGGGTAAAGGTGGGACAAATACAAACCCAACTAAACAATCCTCTATTCTGATCTATATTCTTAAGATACTCGCAGTAAATGCTCTACTGGTTTACATGCCTCATGCTTATCTGAACTTCCTGTATTTGATTCTCTGTATGTGCCTCCTAATGTCTTGTGTAGTCATTAATATACTGCTATTGTTCATGATTTATTCCTCACTGTATAGCACTCAGACTGTATGAGCTGAACAAAAGCACTGTCAATCCAAGACTTCTTTTGAGCATATTAGCTGTTTGCGGCATTTCACTTCTATTTCCAGGCCTGAGTGTCAGCTTCTTCCTACCAGACATTAACAAACTTCAGCTACTACTCTCAAATGACGTTCATCCTAATCCGGGCCCAGATGGTACCACCAAAGGTCAAATAAATATCTTATTTTCCAATATAAACAGTATTATAGTGCAGAAAATGGAGCCAGATTTGATGCACTAAATTTCCAAATTAAAGATAAGAAAATTGATATCATAGGAATTTGTGAAGCCGGCAACTTAAATGAGACAAAAATAAATGAAAAATTTCTTATTCCGGGGTTCCTTAACCCCATTTATTCAAAATTAGGCAGAGGCCTTATGATTTATTCACATGAAGATATAATATGTACTGATAGACCTGATCTATGTATAGATGGGCTTGACTGTATCTGGGCAGAATTAAAAATTAAGCACAGAAAACTTCTTTATGGAGTATTCTACAGGTCACCATCTCAGACAACCACAGAGCGTGATAATTTTGTTAAACTATTTGATCTTAACTTACAACAGGCAAATAACGGTAATTTTGACGGTGTTATAATAAATGGTGATTTCAATTCCAAATGTAAATCTTGGTATATTGAGATGAGGACATAAATGGAAGACTACTTAACGATATATTTTTTCAAAATGGATTTGACCAGTTAATTAAAGAGCCAACAAGAATAACCAGTAATTCAGCAACATGCATTGATCTAACAGTAACAAATATCCCTGGTCTAATTAATCACTCAACTGTCACTGAACCAATTGGATTATCTGACCACAGTACCATCATATCTCAACTTGACATTCATATTTATAAAGGGGATCCAGAATACAAATTAATATGGAAATATAATCTTGCGAACAAAGAAGCCCTCAACTATGAAATATCACATACTGATTGGATTAACTTTTTTAATGAAAATCATGACATCCATTCCATGACAAAAAATTTCACAGATAAAATTCTTTCAATCTTTAAACAGCATATTCCAAATATATTAAAACGAATTAAAGCTAATGATAACGCCTGGTACTCTGATGAAAAAGCCCATGTTTTGCAGCAAAAAAGATCACTTTATCGTAAATTGAAAAAAATCCATCTGCTGAAAATTATAATGCATATAAAGAGCACTCTGTAACTACAAAGAATATTATATTGCAAACAAGAGATAGCTACTATCAGACTCAAATAGACTATTTAAATGGGCAAACGAATGCTGGCAGACCTTTTTGGGATCTTGTTAAGAAGCTACTTGGAAAATGTTTTAACTCATCTATCCCCACAATTGAAAATATCCAAACAAGAGAGACATGTATATCAAACCAAGAAAAAGCTGATGAGTTCCTCAAGTACTTTGTTAATATGTATCATTCCACTTCACCTACAAATGAACAGCCTCCACAATTCCCCTCCAGATGTGATCTGAAACTTGATTCAGTTGAATGTGAATCAAATGAAATCCTATTAATAATAAAAAATCTTGATCCATCCAAAGCAAGTGGACCAGATGGTATCACAATCAAAATGATCCAAATGTGCCCTGATTCAATTGTAGTCCCACTTTGTATTTTATTCAATAAGATTTTAGGAAAACATACTTTTCCAGATATATGGAAACTGGGCGATATTTGATATATCTTCAAAAAAAATAGTAAGAATGACATCAAAAATTACCGACCAATTTCACTTTTGTCGATAATATCAAAAATTCTTGAAAGGGTTGTTTATAATCGAATGTACGCTCACTTTGACCAAAATAATTTACTTTACAAATACCAGTCTGGTTTTTTTAAAGGGCACAGTAATGAAATTCAGCTTTTAGCCATTCAAAATCTTTTATGGACCAATTTTAGCAATAACTTCGACACTAGAGCAAATTTCCTTGACATTTCGGCTGCGTTCGACAAGGTTCCGCATAACTTGCTTATTCATAAACTTAAATCTTATGGTATCTCAGGAAATCTCTTAAAATTTATCGAATCATATTTAACTAATAGAAAAGTTAGGGTTACTATTAACGGATCATCCTCTTCAGCATCACCAGACAACTACATAAACACCTCAGTCCCTCAAGGAAGTATCCTCGGACCTTTGCTCTTCCTGATTTATATCAATGATCTCCCAGACAACCTGACCTCAAAATGTTTTATTTACACTGACGATACATCTATTTTTGTCCCTTGTACTCCAAATGATAGAGAATCTCATCAACTGCTACAAAATGACCTGAAGACTATTGAACAGTGGTCTAAATCCTGGAAGTTAGATTTCAAACCTGAAAAAAGTAAAGAAGTCATTTTTTCTAAGAAAAACACCCATAATTATGAACAAGTCTTTTTGAATGATCAGCCAATATCTAGGCATAATCAGCATAAACATCTAGGCTTCTACTTTGACAGTAAACTCAGAGGCTCTGAACATATAAACTATCTTGTTGACAAAATTCAAAAAGCTCTAAATCCAATGAAACCACTCAAAAGCAAACTTAAATCTAAACAGCTCAACATCATGTACAATTCTTATATCCAATCACTTTTCGATTACTGTGACATACTCTATCACTGTGCAACACAGGCCAATCTAAAGAGACTGGACAAGCTCCAATACCAAGCTTCATTGATTGTCTCTGGTTGCTTACCAGGATCTAATGCAAAGAAAGTCCTTGATTTGCTAAACTGGTCAAGTCTAAATGAAAGAAGAATTTTTCATTTCAAAAAGCAAATGTATAATATATTTAATCAAAATACTCCATCATACATTAGCGACATATTTCATCCTTTTAAAAAGATAAACAATAGAATGTTGCGAGGTACACTGGACTATAGTATACCAATCACAATGCCAAGGAAATCACCTGTTTATAATATGATGAATATATGGAATAAAATTCCAAGAGAGCTAAAATCATTACCAAGTATAGCATCATTCAAGTACAACTTGAAAAATTACCCTTCCAAGGCACAATCTCAACAATGACCTTAAAACTCTCAAGGAAACAAGAAATTATTCTAAATCGTGCCAGATCAGATCTCATTCTCAAATCACAACTCAAGGCCCACAACTGGACAACTGTTGACTCTCCAAACTGCGAATGCGGAGCCCCTGAGACTTTCCGCCATTTGTTTTTTAAATGCCCATTGAAAACTGAACAAATTCTTAAATTTAATAGAGATATTGAACTTATCACTGGAAACCAATCTCAGTTCAGGACCCAAATGGACAAAATAAATCTTTACTTATTTGCTCACCCTTCACTTACTCAGGAACAAATTGACAATCTTTTATCAGTGGTGAGCCTATATCTTATTGAGCATGCATAGTTACATGTAGTTGGAAGCTGGTCTACTTTTGTTCTCAGCCCTACCACTCCTTATCTCTACTGCTTTTCTCCCCTTGTTTCATTCTCTTACATTATACTGTAGCACCATGAAGTCTTCTTTGTGTCACATAGAAAGTACACATCAGCCATTTAGCCATGGGAGACTATGGCGTGAACCTCTTTTCCCTACTCATACTATTATATCTTTGTTTCCAGGACCCTATAGGCAGAGGCAGCAGCCCCCCCACACTCCAATTAAAATGCAGATGCTTTCTTTTCTATTTTTTTTCTAATATATAATTGTGTATTAAAACCATGTTTACAAATTGTAATAACTACATTGAGGGACACCTATAATGCCACTGGCGATTGGGTCCCTCATGTATGATATGTACTTTTAATGATTAATGGCAATAAAATCTCTTGATGAAAAAAAAAAAAAATCGGGAATCCTATCTACAGAGGATTTAAAAAGTGTTGACAGAGGTTTAAAACTTGCCACTTTTTTGGACTGACTGAGAGACAGATGGATGAATCAATGTTAACTAAAATGGCTGAAAATAAAAAACTGATATAATATTTTGCCGACTTTTTGTAACAAAATTATTTCATACAACTACTCTTTACAGTGACATGGCTTTTTACAATGCAGGACAGCTGAAATTATTTGTAAAGCTAGGAAATGGGCCAAAAGTGAATTTCGCGAGACAAGAATGGTGACCATTTTGAAAATAGGCGAGCTTTTGAACCAAGAGTCATAGGAGAGTTTTTTGTATTGATGTTGAACAAAATTAACTTAAAACAGGAATCCTATCGACAGAGGGTTTAAGGCAAATGGTCCAAAAGTGGATTTTGCGAGACAGATAGACAAATCAATGTTAACTAAAATGGCTGAAAATAAAAAAATGAATATAATTTTTTGCTGATTTTTCGTAACAAAATTATTTCATACATCTACTCTTTACATTGACATGGATTTTTACAATGTAGGACACTTGAAATTATTTGTAAAGCTAGGAAATAGGATAAAAGTGAATTTCACGAGACAAAAATGGCGGCCATTTTGAAAATAGGCGAGCTTTTGAGCCAGGAGTCATAGGGGAGTTTTCTGTATTAATGTTGAACAGAAATAACTTAAAAGAGGAATCCTATCAACATAGGTTTTAAAACGTGCCACTGTTGTTGACGGAAAATGGATTTCACAAGTCAGATGGACAAGTCAATCTTAACTAAAATGGCTGAAAATAAAAAAATAGATATAATTTTTTGCTGATTTTTTGTAACAAAATTATTTCATATATCTACTCTTTACATTGACACAGATTTTTTACAATGTAGGACACCTGAAATTATTTGTAAAGCTAGGAAATGGGTCAAAAGTGAATTTCGCGAGACAAAAATGGCGGCCATTTTGAAAATAGGCGAGCTTTTGAACCAGGAGTCATAGGGGAGTTTTCTGTATTGATGTTGAACAGAAATAACTTAAAACAGGAATCCTATTGACAGAGGTTTTAAAACGTGCCAGTCAAAAGTGAATTTCGCGAGACAAAAATGGCGGCCATTTTGAAAATAGGTGAGCTTTTGAACCAGGAGTCAAAGGGGAGTTTTCTGTATTGATGTTGAACAGAAATAACTTAAAACAGGAATCCTATCGACAGAGGTTTTAAAACGTGCCACTATTGTTGACGGACAGACAGACAGACAGACGGATGTTAACTAAAATGGCTGAAAATAAAAAAAATAGATATAATTTTTTTGCTGATTTTTCGTAATAAAATTATTTCATACATCTACTCTTTACATTGACATGGATTTTTACAATGTAGGACACTTGAAATTATTTGTAAAGCTAGGAAATAGGTCAAAAGTGAATTTCGCGAGACAAAAATGGCGGCCATTTTGAAAATAGGCGAGCTTTTAAGCCAGGAGTCATAGGGGAGTTTTCTGTATTGATGTTGAACAGAAATAACTTAAAACAGGAATCCTATCGACAGAGGTTTTAAAACGTGCCAGTCAAAAGTGAATTTCGCGAGACAAAAATGGCGGCCATTTTGAAAATAGGCAAGCTTTTGAACCAGGAGTCATAGGGGAGTTTTCTGTATTGATGTTGAACAGAAATAACTTAAAACAGGAATCCTATCGACAGAGGTTTTAAAACGTGCCACTATTGTTGACGGACGGACAGACAGACGGACGGACGGACAGACAGACGGACAAGTGAGCGATTGCAAAAGCTCACCATGTGAGCTAATAATAATAATAATAAAAAGTAGACCAATCCCAGAATTTTTTTTTTCTTTATTAGTAATGATTTCATTTGACAGTTTCAAGGAAAAAATAGGATTTAGTAACAGCTATTATTCAAAAACGTCTACAATTTTATTAGTATACAAAGTATGGCAACATAAATCTGACAAATTATCCTAGTCTATCTACACACCCCTGTGACCCCCCTGTCTCTACGTGACCACACACCCCACATAGGAATATGTTGTCAGGGGGGGGGGGTCACAAGGTCTTGTAGCTAGACTAAAATATTCCCTAGTTTCTTTCAATCACCAAAAGGGGTCAGGATTTATTTGAATAGTCTATTACCTTGAGTATTGCAGGATCGATGGATTGTTCAAAGTAGGCCAGTTTGCGTATGTCCCCTGAGCCAGTTCCTCCCCCACTCCTGTATAAATGTATACACATGTTTATTAGATACAATCACTCCTGTATAACATGTGCCCATTCTTATCAGATTAATACAAAAATGCTATACAATATAAAATGTATGTCATAGGGAATTGGATAATATATCCGTCTAACTTACTTATGTGCTACATTTTTAAAAAACATAACATTAATTTGTTGACACTTAAATTGTGCACAGTTTTTTCAAATAAATATAAATACTATACAATGTGAAATGTATTGGATACTGTAGATTGGGTTAATTTGGCGCCCGCTTTAATTTGGCGAATTTGGCGAAATTGAAAAATTCGCCAATATAAATCTTCGCCAATATTTAGAATGAATCCCCGGGAATTATCTAGGGTATTTTGTCCAGTGTATCTAGGTCACTTCCGTTTTTTTTCCAAAAATATGAAAAAATGTCTCTCATAAATTGGCTCAGAACTGGTCAGTCACTCATTAATACTCAGGGAAAACTAGAAAGGAAAAGTGCGGTATAGGAGCAGCATCGATCGAGGGGCAAAATGTAAAGGATGATCTCACAAATATGTACAAACGTGGTGAATATCGCCATTGGCCCTCAAAAGATAAAATGAACATAGCCAAACATGCCCATTTACCATGTTTACATGATAATTCGCAAACAGCGGGTAAGTTTAACAATTTTTTTTGCATATCCGCCAAATTAAATAGCCGCCAATATGCCAAAAATGGCAAAATCGCCAAATTAAGTAGCGCCAAATTAACCCAATCTACAGTAATATAATATCTAACTTACTTCTATTTCATATATAAACATTTGTTTACACTAAATAACCATTGCAAATTTTATTTCAAAATGTTTCCGATTTATTCTGTTATTTGTACAGATAATCTACCTTAGCATTGTTTCTACAATATCTGGCAACTTTTTCTCCCAGAGAACCTCATATGCAGTCAGCATAAAAGAGCGTGGGCCCATTACTGCCCGCACCTAAAACATAACAATACTTAATGTGTATGATCCAGTATGTTATATGCTGAGTACAACATCACTTTAGCAGTGTATTAACAATATTATAATTATAAAATACTTTTAGCACCAAATCGCAGCCAAAGCAGCAGCAAATAAAAGAAACTTTTGTAAAAGTATTCAGATTAGGAAGGTTCAATTTTAGAGTTTTATAATAATAATGTACATGTACAGGGCGGCACAAAAACCAACCCTACAATTTTGGAATAACTTCAATTATGGTAAAATCTTCTTGCATTGAGCACTCTGTACACAAAATAGGTTATGACAATTCCATCATTATTGAGAGTTATTCCAAAATTAGGGTTGCACTTTCGTGTCACCCTGTATATGAAGAATACTCACTGCTCCTGTCTGTTCATCCCTCACATAGACTCCTTCATTCTTATTCAGTGGAATGGCCTTCCTCTTGCATATAATCTTCACCTGTGTTGGGGGAATGTACTGCAGGGGCCCATTGATCATCCATCTATCACCAGGACCTCTAGTTGGGGAGTCTACAATAGATATACATGTATACTTAAAATGACCCTGTATTGGGGGAATGTACTGCAGAGGTCCATTGATCATCCATCTATCACCAGGACCTCTAGTTGGGGAGTCTACAATAGATATACATGTATACTTAAAATGACCCTGTATTGGGGGAATGTACTGCAGAGGTCCATTGATTATCCATCTATCACCAGGACCTCTATTTGGGGAGCCTACAATAGATATACATGTATACTTAAAATGATCCTGTGTTGGGGGAATGTACTGCAGGACAGTGCAGGGGCCCATTGATCATCTACCTATCACCAGGACCTCTACTTTGGGAGCCTACAATAGATTATATGTACTTAAAATGACTTGTGTTGGGGGAATGTACTGCAGAGGTCCATTGATCATCCATCTATCACCAGGACCTCTATTTGGGGAGCCTACAATAGATATACATGTATACTTAAAATGATCCTGTGTTGGGGGAATGTACTGCAGAGGTCCATTGATCATCCATCTATCACCAGGACCTCTAGTTGGGGAGTCTACAATAGATATACATGTATACTTAAAATGATCCTGTGTTGGGGGAATGTACTGCAGAGGTCCATTGATTATCCATCTATCACCAGGACCTCTAGTTGGGGAGTCTACAATAGATATACATGTATACTTAAAATGATCCTGTGTTGGGGGAATGTACTGCAGAGGTCCATTGATCATCCATCTATCACCAGGACCTCTAGTTGGGGAGTCTACAATAGATATACATGTATACTTAAAATGACTTGTGTTGGGGGAATGTACTGCAGAGGTCCATTGATCATCCATCTATCACCAGGACCTCTACTTGAGGAGCCTACAATAGATATACATGTATACTTAAAATGATCCTGTGTTGGGGGAATGTACTGCAGAGGTCCATTGATCATCCATCTATCACCAGGACCTCTAGTTGGGGAGTCTACAATAGATATACATGTATACTTAAAATGACTTGTGTTGGGGGAATGTACTGCAGAGGTCCATTGATCATCCATCTATCACCAGGACCTCTACTTGAGGAGCCTACAATAGATATACATGTATACTTAAAATGATCCTGTGTTGGGGGAATGTACTGCAGGACAGTGCAGGGGCCCATTGATCATTACTCGGAGAGCCTACAATAGATATACATGTAATGACTTGTGTTGGGGGAATGTACTTGAGGAGCCTACAATAGATATATGTTCTTAAAATGCCTTAACCTCTAGCTCTGCTAGAGAATGCCTCAGTAACATTTGCTCTATGACTACAATATGACAGCCATAGCACTGAAATTGAGAAACTACTGCGGCAGCAAGATTATATCTCTAGATGTGTAATGGTAGTGTCAGTCTGGCTACATAGTTACCATCTAGTCAACTTGCTTCTACCTTGCATCTGTGTTAGTATTCTGAAGCTGTCGCAGGGATGCCCTCAACAGACTGTACATCATCACTTGAAGACTGTATGGAAGCACCAAGTTTTATATCTTCACAAATTCAAAATACATTCTTACATGTTTGACTGTTACAGTATGTGACCAATAATGAATAATATTTCTATTGACCATATATATTCAACACCCGATGGGTACAGCAACCAAAGTGACTGAGGCACAAAAAATAAAACACGCTAAAATAACCTAGGCAACTGTTTTTTACAGCATACTTTGCAGCAAATATTAATTACTGGCTTACCCTCTGTAGAGCTATCAGTGAAGGCCTCTGTAGCTTGGAGTACAATAGCTTCATATTCGGAGAGCACATAAGCTTTCTGTATTCCAGCTTCTAACTTCTCACCTACAATAACATACAATCACGAACAGTTCATGTAATATCACATAATTTATTAGCAATAATCAAAATCAATCCAAAAATGCGATTCATATGATGTTGGGGTGTTCATTGTTTATGTTATAATATTATATTAGGCCACTAAAAGTAAAATATTTGTTACACATTACACTCCTAAGATTACAGCAAATTTTCATTTGACAAACAAAAAGCACCCAAATATGAACTTGTAACAAAGCCAAATAATGACTAAACATTATCCAATCCAAAACAATAGATTTATGATTCAATAGACTACATGCGAGTAGAAATAATCTTGATTTACGTCATTAATATTCAAAATTCAGTCAAAGTGATGTCATATTTGAAATCTGCATTTAAATGTGCATCTAGAAATATGGTTTCGAAAATTGTTTATCAACTTTGAAAATTTAATTTTCTTTGAAAATGTGACTTCTTGTTCGGGTTGATTCCCCATAGACCCCATGTTAGAAAATCACAAAAAGTGAATTATCTTTTCTTGTATTGGACAGATAACATTTTCTTTTACTGGAAATATTTTAATTTGCATAACTATTAGATACATAAGGGTTATATGAAAATTGAACCATGCAAATAGATGTAATTTAAGTTAAAGGGAACTTTCTACTATACCCGCCATGCTATCTGACCCGAACGAGCCACCTGGTGGTGAATCTGGTAACTACCTACTCGCATCTGCGTTATTGCAATGCAATACAATATAAGGCATTAACCTGCAAAATGTCACCACTTGCAACTGCTAAACACTAACAGCTGAACGACTACTACCGCCACAAAAAAGTTGGAGACCATAACAATATGTCACCACTTGTGGTTGTGACATAGCAATAATGGGTATCTATCTCAAATCATTACTATTGAAAAACTTGCCTGGATGTAAGAAAAAGTTAGTGATCCCCTGCCGTAACTCTCGTTTCCCTAGCTGATTGTGTCCTTGTTTGTTTACAGGATCTAGAACCACACAGTAGGAGTTCTTTGGTAGGACAGTCCTTGATATCACTTGGATTACCTCAACTCCAATAGGAGGAATGTAGGAGTCTAGTTGGTCTTTAGTTACAAGCCATTCATCACCTGGTCGTCTAAAAAATAGATGTGAAGATCATTTGAGAGATATAGAAGTTGACAAGAAGGAAAAAATAATTTTACATGGTACTCAATGACAGAAAAAATGAAAATGAGACTGATAAAAATGTTCACACTGGGAGGTGTTCGGATGTGAACATCTCCAATTCAAATGCTTTTAGCCAGTCTTAGCTACATTTGATTTGGACAGGTTTTAGCATACCTTTTAATACTGCGAACATCAGTCAAGGATTGAGTTGCTCTGCAGTGGAGTGCTTTATCTGGGGTCAAAGTATATGCTTTCTCTTCAACTACAACCTACAAATAAATAATATAGTTCGTAAAGACAATGACTATATGAAAAATAATTTGATTTAAAAATACTAAATCAGTATTAACTAATTTTGTAATTTGGAGATATCTCAAAACATATAAATGTAAATAAATGATCAAAACTCTCATAACTATAGTTTTGCTGTCAATGTATGATGGAAAACATTCCAAAAAAATTGCCAATATTTCCACATTAAAAATTCTTTGGGTCATTTATCAGGCAAAAAATGTAACATTGATGGTGCTATAAATAATTGAAGTATTTAAAAATATTATTTTGAGAATTGTGTTTTTTATATCAGTGGTGCATTTGCACATTAAAACTCAATCACTAAAATCAAACATTTTGCATGTACCCTACAAAATGTCACTTTATCATGTGATCGTGATTACCTTCTCAGAGACTCCTGGGAGATAGGCTCCTTCTTCCCTGACCAACCACTCTTCTCCTGTCACTCTAGCCCTGATAAGAAACATAATCAAAATGTATAAAACTAAAAGAAATATATAGCTTAACATATTAAATTATCTTGACACACACTATGTGTAGCAGGCCTATAGTCAGGGGGTTCAAGCCCCACCTGGCCAAAAATGTTTTCGAAATCATGCAGCTTTTCATCATTCTGAGCACTTTCAAGTGGTTTAGGGCCAAGTTGTCAATTGTGAATTCTCCTGAAATCCTCCAATGAGGATTGTGGTCTCAATCTGGATCCATATTTAATATAATATGGGGGATGAGACACCAATAGTTTTACTTATATCTATAGGGGGATGAGACACCAATAGTGTTACTTACTTGCCATATTTGTCAATACAATCCTCAGTGGCCTGTAGTCTCAATGCATATCCATACTTAATGATGTGGGGGGATGAAATACCAATAATTTTCTACAAAGTACAAATATATTTCAATACTTCTAAAAATAGTTATCTAAATAGTAGCAGCTTGAGCCTAAATATATATAGAACCAGAACAACGGCAACGCCAAAGCGTAGCGAATCCCATCGAACAGAAATGGCTGGCATTTTTACAAACGAATAGCAAATATCATAAAACAACACATCAGAAAGGCCACCATTTTCAAAATGGTTGCTCACTAGCCAAGTTGTCATCAGAAGAAATAATATGCTTTTAAGTAGCCATCTCTAAAATTTTTGAAAAATCGCACACGTACTTGTAAAATAACACACATAAAAATGGTGGCCATTTTTCAAAATGGCCGACTACTCCCCAAAGTTTTATTAGACAATGTGCCATGCTTAAAGTATTCACATATCAAATATGAACAAAATCGCTCCACTACTTTTCGAGTTATAGTAAAATACGTTAAAATGGTGGCCATTTTTCAAATTTTTTTTCAAAATGGCCGCCTTCTACCAAAAGTGTCAAAGGACAGTGTGCCATGCTTATAGTATTCACATACCAAATATGAACAAAATCGCTCCACTACTTTTCGAGTTATAGTAAAATATGTTAAAATGGCGGCCATTTTTCAATTTTTTTTTCAAAATGGCCGCCTTCTACCAAAAGTGTCATAGGACAGTGTGCCATGCTTATAGTATTCACATACCAAATATGAACAAAATTGCTCCACTACTTTTCGAGTTATAGTAAAATATGTTAAAATGGCGGCCATATTTCAATTTTTTTTTCAAAATGGCCACCTTCTACCCAAAGTGTCATAGGACAGTGTGCCATGCTTATAGTATTCACATACAAAATATGAACAAAATCGCTCCACTACTTTTCGAGTTATCGTAAAATACGTTAAAATGGCCGCCATTTTTCAAAATGGCCACCATTTTTCAAAATGGCCGCCTTCTACCAAAAGTGTCTTTAAACAGTGTGCAATGCTTATAGTATTCATATACCAAATATGAACAAAATCGCTCCACTATTTTTTGAGTTACAGCAAAAATCGTATAATGACGAGTAAAGGCCGCCATTTTTCAAGATGGCTGCCATGTGCTTTTTTAATATCTACATTTGTAGCATTATTAATGCCCTTTATAATTTTTTTACATTTAAAACATATTGCTATTACAGTTTTACATATTGCACCTAAATTACTGTAAAATCGGCACTAAAATGGACGCCATTTTGAAATGAGCGGCCATTTTGAAAATCGGCTTTCAAGCAGAACTTCTACCCCCATAGGGTATATGTGTACAAAATATGAACAAAATCGGGCCAACGGTATTTGAGTTATTGCCCGGACGGACGGACGGACGGACGTACGTACGGACGGACGGACGTACGTACATACGTACGGACGGATGTACGTACGGACGGACGGACGGACGGACGGACGGACGGACGGAGGCGTTCCCTATATCCCTCCGAACTTCGTTCGATGGGATAATAACCTATGATTTTGAGTGATATCATTTTCCCTTGAGTTGATATCAATATCTGGAATAGTAAGTGCAAGATGTTATATTTATCCCATAGTTCACCTATGAAACTCAACAAAGCATTTTAAACCAACATTGTCATTTCAAATGAAAGGAGGGGGGGGAGTAATGTGTCTAGGAGACATATGGTAAGAGATGTAACTTGACTTTATTTACAATGAATAACTCTAAATGTCCTCTCCTTTTACTCCAGAGTTGTAACATTCAATTTCTTCCACCTTGAAGACAAATTACTGCCCCCTCCATTCATTTCTCCCCCTCTGTTCATTCCTCCCCCTCTGTTCAACTCTATAATTATTTTCGATTATTTTTTATCTAATGTAAGGAAACTTATTTTAGAAAACCAGCAACGACATTAATTTTGTGATAAAAATGTCACTCAGATTTATTACGGGGCTCGTTATGGGCACCGTACGGTCAAGTACGGGGGTCGAAAATTACGAGCTATTACAGGCCTTGTAATTACAAGCTCTTACAAAGCTCGAAAATAACAAGCAATTACGAGGCTCGTAACGAGTCCCGTCTGAGGTTGTACAGAGCCTGTCGACTCAACGAGCTACGTACGGCTGGTACGGGGTCCGATATCATTTGCCTGTGTACTAGAATTGTGTTTTTTCCTTTAGTAAATCATCAATAAATTTACAATCCTCTTCCCTGCAGCTGCTTTAAATTTAAGTCTGTAAAAGTGTTTTTCAGATGCATTTACTATTTTTTTAAGGATTTTGTCATTTGATTTGTATGCGGTTTTGTTTGCATGAGAAAGATATCTTAGGTATTTTTTATAAAGTTTAGATTTTGTTTTAACAGATTTGATGCATTGAGCTCCTTGTTAAAATAACCTATATAACATCGATATCCATGTAAATATTATCATAATATATTATTTGTTGCATTGATATCTATATTAACGTGACCTATGCCAAACTGTTCTCCATGTTAACATAATCTCAGTTACATTGAGCTCAATGTTAACATGACCTATGTAACATTGATATCCATGTAAATATTATCATAATATATTATTTGTTGCATTAATACTTATATTAACATGACCTATGCCAAACTGTTCTCCATGTTAGCATAATCTCAATTACATTGATGTCAATCTTAACATAACCTACATAACATTGATATCCATGTAAATATTATCTATGTGGCATTGATATCTATATTAACATGACCTATGCCAAACTGTTCTCCATGTTAGCATAATCTCAATTACATTGATGTCAATCTTAACATAACCTACATAACATTGATATCCATGTAAATATTATCTATGTGGCATTGATATCTATATTAACGTGACCTATGCCAAACTGTTCTCCATGTTAACATATCTCAGTTACATTGAGCTCCATGTTATCATTACCTATATAGCATTGATTTGCATGTAAATATAATCTATGTGGCATTGATATCTATATTAACATGACCATGCCAAACTGTTCTCCATGTTAACAAAATCTCAGTTACATTGAGCTCAATGTTAACATAACCTATATAACATTGATATCCATGTAAATATTATCTATGTGGCACTGATATCTATATTAACGTGACCGATGCCAAACTGTTCTCCATGTTAATGTAATCTCAATTACATTTAGTTCCATGTTAACATAACCTATATAACATTGATATCCATGTAAATATTATCTATGTGACATTGATATCTATATTAACATGACCTATGCCAAACTGTTCTCCATGCTAACATATCTCAGTTACATTGAGCTCCTTGTTAACATAACCTATATAACATTGACATCCATGTAAATATTATCTATGTGGCATTGATATCTATATTAACATGACCTATGCCAAACTGTTCTCCATGTTAACATAATCTCAGTTACACTGAGCTCAATTTTAACATAACCTATATAACATTGATATTCATGTAAATATCATCATAATATATTATTTGTTGCATTGATACTTGTATTAACATGACCTATGCCAAACTGTTCTCCATGTTAACATAAACTCAGTTACATTGAGCTCCATGTTAACATGACCTATGTAACATAGATATCCATGTAAATATTATGTATGTTGCATTGATATCCATATTAACATGACCTATGTCACACTGTTATCCATGCTTGATCATTTATGTGACATTCTTATCAATGGTGAAATCACTTAGAATAAATTGATTCACTTTGTTGAAGTAATACATTCATGAAAGTGACTATTTTAATTCATAATGTTTGCATCACTTATGTCACATTGATTTTCATGTTAGGATCACCTGTTCAGTCATCTTATCTTTGTGAGATGATGTCCTTTTTAACATCATTAATATGATTTTGTATCCTTATAATATTAACCTTACCTACCAACCATACACTGATTCAATTAATCACAGTTGTTATTTTATGTTTATTTAGTGCCAATTATCATTTTCAAATGATTAGCAATATTTTGATCTCTTCTCTGATATTAAAGGTCTATCCAATCCAGATTATAATTCATGATTTCTCTGTTTTAATCATTCTAGAATACTATCTGAATAAAACTATAAACTAAATATAACATTTGACTTTAATTCATTCAAATATACCATCCCTGCTACCTGAAACTTAACATGAATTTCATAATGGCTCGCATGGATTTTTATACAATAAAGATCCTAAACAGAGGGACGCCCGCTCCCCCTAAAATCAAGCATAGACAATTATTAAGTCCTTACATAGCCTAATTTGAATAAGGCTTGCACATGTTTTTATAATGATGATAGAGATTAAGAGTATGGCCAGTCATTTTAATTAAAAGAGTTGTCAATTACTAGTGTGTCACACATTATCATAGGTATGTTTTTGATGTTCAGTTTGATTAAGATCCAGTTTTTCGGTCCAAATTGTAATGATGGTATATCAAAATAATAAGGTTAGGAGTTTTGATAAAATACTCCATTTCCATGTTGGAAATTGTCTCAAGGAAAAATCTTGAAAATTTAAATAAGAATGGTTGTTCCATTGCAAATCCACAGTAAAAACACGACTGCATCATTGAACCTGTCTGGGGTACTAATATATTATTAGTTGCATTGATATCTATGTCACACCGTTATGCATGCTAGATCGTTTTATACAGCATAGCATGAATCACATGATGATTGAGTGAAGGTAAAAACTAGAAAACAACCCCAAACAAACCTGTTTTAAATGAAAAACAGAATGAGCTGTGTCAATAACTCTGTTATGGATGATACAAAGAAAAAGGTGAGATTATGGTTATTAAGTACATGTACATGTACATGTACATGCAAATGGAAGGTTATAGGGATGTCATGGGACAAAAATATTTCGGGACACTATAGACGACCATCACTTTGGTAAAACAATTAAATTCATATTACAATAGCGTTTTAATCATTAATGGTGTCATGATGAAACTGTGTTAGTCTTTTTGAATCATGAAAATGGACACATGTAACATCGTCTGATTCCATTGTGTACAATGAT